TCCACCTACTCGCTTGTCTCTGTGTATGTTGGTATATGCCAGGTATCCTGATCGCATCCTGTTGTTACGGGGCAACCACGAGAGCCGACAGATTACACAGGTGTATGGATTCTATGGTAAGTGTGTCTGACCTTTTTTTGCGAATGTGCTGTTTTTATTCTATGTAAAATGTATAAACCTAAACGCTAAACGCTAACCCTAAACCTTTAATCCCTAAACCCTAAACCCGTATCCCCCAGACGAGTGTATAGCTAAATATGGCAACACAAACGCATGGAAGTACTGCTGTAAAGTCTTCGATTACATGACCCTGTCTGCGGTATGTCGCGTTGTCTCATTGGCTTTCACAGAATGCGTTTTACTGTGTGGGTTAAGACTCCAGCTCATTCTATGCTGTATTCTCTATACTGTGCTACAAGGTCGTCTTGGCTTGCATTATTGTAGTGTCTTATGTCTTGGCCTGTATTATTGTAGTGTCTTATGTCTTGGCCTGTATTATTGTATTGTCTTATGCCTCGGCTTGTATTGTTGTATTGTCTTATGTCTTGGCTTGTATTATTGTACTGTCTTGTGTCTTGGCTTGTATTACTGTTTTGTCATGTATTGGCTTGTATTATTGTATTGTCTTATGTCTTGGCTTGTATTATTGTAATGTCTTATGTCTTGGCTTACATTATTGTATTGTCGTATGTCTTGGCTTGTATTATTGTATTGTCTTATGTCTTGGTTTACACCATTCATTTCCCTGTTTACTATGTCGTACGCTCGGAGTGGCTCTGTGATCTGGCGAAGTGTCTTGTGTACCATAGCATAGCCATTTCGTACACACGTCTTGGATCCGTGTGTTACTGCCGGCCTGAGTCTTATTGTATGCCACACTCATTCTCTCGGCATGGCGGATGTGTTTGTGTGCTTGGTCTGAGTCCGGCAGATTTATAGAGTAGTGAATCAATTGAAGTGGTTCTGCGGTACGTCGAAGCCTTTCTGCGCACAGCATTCACAGCAAGGCATGATGTGAACCTGTAGGGTTACCATCGGTTGCTTGCACAGCCACAGCCACAGCCACACACATACACCTACACAGATACACACACACACACATACCACCCCCCCCCACCCCACACATACATACACACACACATACACACACACACATACACACACACACACACACACACATACATACATACATACACCTACACACACACACAATAACACACACCTACACACACACACACCCCTACCCACACCCGTTCGCTCCATACACAATCGGTTGATGCTGTAATACGATATCCTGCCAATGCACCGTATGTCCACACACACAATCCGTCGGTTCTATTAGTCTAGTCTACGTCTCCAGACACGGACTTACACACCCTGTGTTCTGTATTCCTGTCACGACAATGTTTATACCTGTACACATGTATATGTACACATTTGGTGTATCTGTATCTCCAATATGCGTACAAAGACACTCACATACACACCCTGCTCCCTTGTATACGTGTATATGCACTCATGCTATACATCTGTATTATCCAATGACACTCATGTTACACCCTGGTTGTACACAGCTAATTGACGATAAAGTGCTGTGCGTGCACGGCGGACTCTCACCGGATATCCGTTCGCTGGATCAAATCAGCACTATTGAAAGGTACCACAACCCTGCAGATCACAGTACGAGCATATGTTTCTAGGGGGCTAGGACATAGTCTGTATGACAGTGCAAGCATATGTTTCTAAGGTTCTAAGACTTAGTCTGTACCACAGTGCAAGCATACGTTTCTAGGGTTCTAAGACAAAGTCTGTAATACAGTGCAAGCATTTGTTTCTAGGGTTCTAAGACATAGTCTGTATTACAGTGCAAGCATATGTTTCTAGTGTTTAAGATGATGCTCAGAATACATAGTGAGAGCGTTGCCCTTTCTCACACACATCGCTGTGCTATTGTGGTGGGTTTGATTGGTATCATTATACACTTGTGGTGTACGCGGCATTCTATGTGGTCGCATCACCCCTGGGCGCATCCATCCCGTCGAGCGAATGTATGTGGTGTGCGATTAGTACGCGCGCGTTCTTCTGACGCGGAAATAGAGAAATATAAACTCTAAGACCCTGAACCCCAAAACTCTAAACCCTAAACGCTATGCATATGTTTTGCTGATACTCACATGTGTATATCACTGCACGAGTATAGGACTGTCGCTCATACATCTGAGTGGTTGATATATCCCGTGCGCACCGGCTATCTATCAGAATATGCAGATACTGGTCTGTGGGTGTGTCTGTGGGGTGTGTTTATGTAATCTCTGACTTAATGCAAAGATATACTACTACCACACGAAGCCGCATTCAGCACTGTGGGTATCACTGTATATTGTGTGCTGGTTCTAGTTATTTACCCGTGCGTGTAGCATAGGAATATATAGAAACAAATCGGTCTCTCCAGACACCGCTCCCACACAGTGACTTCGGATCGCTACAGCGAATGCTGGAGAACGCGTGTCATTAGAGTGCTAAGAAATGTGTTTTTTTGCAATACAGGAATATGGAAATACCACACGAAGGACCATTCAGCGATCTGGTCTGGTCCGACCCCGATGACGTGGATGGGTGGGCTGTTAGTCCGAGAGGTGCTGGATGGTTATTTGGAGCTTCAGTTACTGATGAGGTATTATATAAACACTCACACGCACACTTCTATATATATACATAT